ATAAGGAAAGTGAGTGGAGAACTATTCGAGAGAACTAGGAAGAAATGAGTATGACAAATAGTTATCTGTTATAACTATTAATGTTATAAAGAAAGATTTTTCTCTGATTTACCATCCAGAGGTAAGTTTTGATAGTTTCAGTTTGAGGGGGGAAACCTCTTCATCAACCATACCATGAAATAAGAGAGTGTGATGGTTCCCATATGTCAACAGATAAAATCAATTTTAGGACAGAGAAGCACAGTTTCAACAACTGTGTGAGCATCATGCCCCATGACCAGCTTTGATGAGTTCCTCTTTGAGTCTTACTATCACTAATCCAGGTAGAATGTTTACCGGTTACTGGAGATAAGCTGGTAAGCAGATTGTGATAACACCTACAGCAGACTATTCAATTACAGCATGCATGACTTAAGGCATATGTTCTTAGAAACGTGTCATTAGGTGATTTCCTCGTTATGTGAACATCATGGAGTGTTACACAGCCCTAGAAGGTCTAGCCTACCACACACGTAGGGACCCCCATCATACATGCAGCCCACCATGGCCCCAAAACATTGTTATTCAAGGCAAGACTGCATTTACTCAAAGCCTGCCACGTGGGCCAGGTCTTTAGGGGAGTGCAGACTAATATGGGATGCAAAAGCATAAGCCAATAGTGAACCTGGTATTCAGGGTTAGAGAAGTACCAAGTGCAGAGGTCAAACAGAACAAGATGGACATTCCTAGAAGACAAGAACTCGGCTTGAGAACTGTGCCATCTGAGGCTGAGTCTTATGCCCAGCACATACTGGGTACCTGACAAGGTCCACGGGGTGACTCAAGAATAAGCATTTAACTAGAATCTGAGGAACAGCTCCATAGAAGACCCAGAGTCATTTCCATAAACATTGTGAACACCCGCAGGGATACTCAGAAATATTTGGGATCATGGGAAGCTACCAAATTGCAATGTAGGAGAGATTGAGTTCCAACAACAGCAGGGAGATGAAGGTGGGCAGTGGGGAGGGGCTTGGCATATACTTTACCTGGCATTAAAAAAAATCAATGAACCAAATAAAAAATGGAAGTGGTGTGGACTAACGGTGGATAATGGGGGTGACGGGTGGACACTAACACCCCTCTCCACGAGTCTCTGGAGGGCCGGCACATCCTCCCAAGGATTTTGCAGGGAGGGGGAGGCCTACAACCTGTAGTGGTTCCTGTGAGGTCTCCTGTGAGGCAGCAGACTACCAAGGAGGCCTCATTTATCCCCAGCCTGTGGGTCTGGGAGCAGTGAGATTATTATGCTCAACAAGACATTATTATTCACTTCCATGTCTCCTTTCACCAGTGTATTCTGAGCCCGTGAAGAATGGAACTCTATTTTGCATTAATCTTTGTAATCCCCGTGGCACAGCACAGGGCCATGGGGAGACATAAGGTCTCAAGAACTGTTATATTGCATGAAAGGGAAGAACAGAGCACTAGCACTTACTGAGCTCCTTCTATGGACCAAAAGGACAACTTTCATATGTTATATCATTTAATCCTGTTATCAGCACTGGGGGTATCACGGAGGGACCCCAGGAACTTGTGATTAAGAGAAGTAAGATTGCCTTCTGAGACTTAAACTGGAAGGTCATTATCTGATGGATTGGGGAAGATCTTAAAGTCATCTTAAAAAAAGAAATGGCCCCTAGGCATGCAAGAGCTGATGAAGCCTGATTAATTGCACGAATGTAACAGAGCATCAGGCTGTTCTTGTGTTGGTTATTCAGAAGAACGGTCAGATATGGCAGGTAGAGAAAAGCAAATGCTGGCTGGGCCATCCAAGCACTTTTTAGAGCAAAGGGCCAAAGCATTCAAGGCCCACACCTTGGGCCACGTGTCTCCCCTTCCAGGCTGAAGAAACCCAATTTTCAGTCCAATGTTGTTAAACATTTGATTCACCTAACGCCACACTCATCAAGCCACTTCTGACGGTGATGAGGTATCCCATGGAGGTCTTCCTTGAGAAGGGGACCCTGGGCACATGGAATCAGTTCTTCATACTGGCCCATGTGACAATTATATCTCATAGTAAACGAGTGAGCTGGCACTCTGATAATGATGTCATTCCCCAAGGTCTGCCCACGCAGGGGGCCTGGCTGGCCATGTTAACACAAGTGCTCTAGTTCCCAGCTGTTGCCTTTCATAAAATAAGGCAGAGACATCCAGGGTTTATGCATTGCCCT